ATTGATCAAGATCAGGCTGAATATTTAATTGAATATCTTGTCGGAGGACATCCAGAAGGGCATCGAGATTAGAACGAGAGACCGTGCGTGCCTTCGAGGACCTAGAAGAGGATTGAGTAAAAACTGATTAAAGCAACCGACATAAGCAATAATCTGTGTGTATTGTTTGACCATCGACTTTGATGAGGTCTACTATGTGTTCAAGAACAGGGACGGTGATTGGAGACAAATACGAGATCATAGTGAAAAAGACGCGCAACCTCACTCTAACCCTCCTCCGTCTAAATCGGTGACAAGACCGAAGTTAAGATGACCGAGCAGGATTTGGGCGGACGCCGCCTTCTCTAATGCAGCCTGAAACACCGCCTAACTTAGTCTTTAGTGACAGTAGACTTTGCGCGGGTACTACTGCACTGTCTACCCTCACTCACCTATAGTAGGTGTCTAGCCAGACTCTAGGAAGCTACTATCACTACTGCTATTTCTAATACTACTAAATAGGGTGTAGCTGAACGATATTATTTACTGGTACTATTTCTGACTGTATTGTAAGTCAGAAGTAACGCCGACTAGACCAACGCTAGGGCTAATACTCCCTAGTCTCAACAAGGAGCGTAAATTTGGGCTTAAACTATTCCGAGTAAGTACATGTTTGGGACACCGAGCACAGCAGAGCTTGCCTTGGTTACCACCCTCTCAATTCTATCTATCAGGCTGTGTCTGTTTCTACTAGGTTCGAACTACGATACTGCTGCTAGAAGTACGCGCCTATGCTAAAATGCTAATTCTTGTAATCATGCTTACTAAGGCCAGTAAAAAATGTACTATAATAAGGTCCGTGTGTGCTTTTAAGAAGTTGGCACCCAGTATGCACTCCCAATCTGTATGCGGTTAAGTGATTAGCTTATGGGTTAAGTAAAGCGTTATTGAATAATAGCACAAGTCCTACCATGCCTTTATGTCGTAAAGTTTGCCTTCTGTAGACCGCCTATAGGCCTACTACAGTATCGTCTACTCATATCCCCTCGATCCCAGCAGGGAGTGTGAATCTGGGTTAATGATTCTCCAAGTAACCACATGTTTGAGACCCGGAGCACATCAGGTACTTTCATTGGTTTCCGCCTCTCACTTCTGTCCAAAAGAAGCTGTGTCACATTTGGTCAAGGCTACTGCTGCTTGATGTAATATGCCACTGCTAAGAGTGCTAATTCTATTAATCATACTTATTAAGACCAGCGGATGGTATACCCTAGTAATATATTCCTATAATTGTATCAATAGCTGACATGTAATAATCTGCAGCGCAAGGGGTCGACATTTCGCCCTCACAGGTTCCACAGGCACTGCCTATTTTGAGACTTATAGTTCGATCCTCGCAACCGAAGGGGGCTACCGCTGTCGAGTGAAGTGGGCGTGGCCGTTACTTTCGTTGCATCTACCTCACTGCCCTCTTCACTTGCGTTGCATCTACCTCACTGCCATCTTCACTCACCCTTTGTCAATGGCAAGACAAAGGCAAGACACAGGCAGAGGTGAGTTTGGGCGCCGGGCTAAAAAACATTAACAGCCTGTCAACATGCGTCCCACTGTTAATATCAACAAAAAGGCAGGTCTACTGATGGTTAGAGGGCGAACTGGCAGCACCTACCCTTTTTTATCTTTTGCAGGAGCCCTTGATGGTGATACCCGCAGGGTTTGCTTCGTTGGTGAATCAAAGGCAGAAAGCACAAGAAAGTCTGTGTCATCAGGAGGGCGCGAGAGCTCCTTCACAAGATACTCGCAAAACTCCTCAACAACCTTGACGGAAGAAGTACGACTCGCGGTATGTGCTTGTGCAGTCTCTGAGTTTACCGAAGGAGACACAGTCAGGTAGGATTGGCAGGCAGTGAGATAGGCCTCAATTAAAGTCGGCGTCGCATCGACCTCCTCTACGCACGAAAGCTGAAGTTGGAGTGGAAGCAAATAAAATGATCCATAAGGCTTTCGAATAGCTCATAAGATAACCACGGTGATGTCGTAAAAGAGGAAAAAGCAAAGGGCGTACTAACCTTTTCAATCAGCAAATTTTCATAAGCGACCTGAAAATATTTTGCAGCACGATCCATCAGACAGTGTTGGAAGGCAAGCCGACCAAGAGCAAAGTTGGTAGAAATTAGGAGCCGCTCTCGAGATAGGACATCGACATCATCTGCCTGATCAGTGAAGATAGGCTTGCGGAGATTTGTAAAACGGAAACAGGAAGCCCGTGGTCTTTTCACCACTGGCACGGCAGACTGCTCAGTACCCTCACGGTCTCCTTGAAGCGAGTCAGAAAGGGCCACAAGACGAGCCACAGACTCCTCCCGACGCATCATGATGGCTTCAAGGTCAGCGCGGCTATCCGGCAAAAAGGCAACATCCGGTACTTCTTGCAGGCCTGCCACTACCGGCGTCATGTTTCGAAAAGGTTGCGGCAACAGGCTGATGGAGAAGGCGACCTGCAAGCACCACAGATGATAAGCAAGAGCTGTGAACGCGACCAGAGGTTCCATAGACTCCCAGGGT